CCGCTCCGCGCCGACCGAGGCAGGGGATGGGGGAGGAGGACTAGGACGCGGGAGAAGAAGGGACATACGAGGACGATAAGGAGGACGAGAAGGAGGAGGAGAAGGATGAGGAGCAGAGTATACCCGAGGAGGAGGAGAAAGGGCAGGAGGAGGAGGACTGAAGTGGACCCAAGATGCATCACCGATGCCGCAGTGCCTGGCCTCTCGCCGCAAGAGGCGCTCCCTCGGAAAGACTAGCACCCTACGTGACTGCCACGCGGGCCAGATGGCCCCGTCTTGAAGAGAGAAGCTGCCACTCCTGCTTCTGGCGCGCGAGGACTGCGACAAATAACAGGGGATACGTCGACCCCTATCCCAGACTTCGTGGGATTACAAAACGAACCAGAAATTGGGAGCCCAACCATGGGGTATACGAGGGGGGTGGACGTCCATCCTCGACAGGGGTGCGTCCGAATAGCCCCTGGGGGGGTATCCGGAGCGGTATCCGAGGGTCTCCCTTCTTTTCTTGGCCGCTTCTACTTTCGTCGAAAAGTCGAGGGCTGGGATAGAGCCATCGCCTGCGAACAAGGTGCACGCGATGTGACCACTGCGGAGCGCAACGAGGCACCCTCCCAGAGCGGCAACACGCAACGAACATGTCCCGAAGTACGCCCCAAAACATGAAACATGACTTGCGGGACGCTGTCCCAGACTCAGGCTGCAGCTGGGTCCGCGGCAGGACGGTGTACACGTCTGCTCAGAGTTAAGAACGTTTAAGCTAAGAGAACCTACTTCACGCCAACGCATTTTGTTAGTCAGTTCGTCCAGGTCAAGATGCACGAGCGCTCAACGAAGAAAAGAAACTCCAAAAAAACGCCCAGGATCCAGTCCAGACTTGTGATATCCTTGCGCGGAATCTGGTGTTCATTAAAATTGGTGCGTTGTCTTCAGATGCCAGATGGGTGTATGATCATACACTTCAACGGGGTGTTCAGCGTGATCCATGATTTGAAGCAGTACAAGCCCCCAATATGTGCAACTGTTGCGCAAACTTGCGCTTCTGGCCATGAGCTTCGAGAATGTCCCGGGAGAGAGCTCCATTTTGAAAAGGAGCCGGCCTCTACACGTACGACCGTTGCATATGTAAAAGCTTCTGGTCTTTGAAATGAAAGGCTAGAATCACGCGCGCTTAGGTCCTGGTCGAACGCAACATGGGGTCCAGGCCCTTCAAATGTCGGCCGTCGGACCCCTCGAGGACACCTTGCACTCCAGCTGCACGTGACAGGGTTTGTCCTGAGCTGGACCTCCTCGCCATCGGTCCACAGCTCCAGTTGCGTGCCAGACGGGTGCTCGGCATGGGTCATCATGTGTATATGGAATTGCCGAAAACAAATGCACGAATTACGAGCGTGCTTAATTTTCAGCGCGTGCCAATGCAAAGGCGGGACACAATCGGCAAAACTTTCTGGGCTGATGCCCATGGGTGTGCGTCCGTGAGTGGGCGTCCTAACATTTGGCGGGTATACGGTTTCATGTTCTTCTGGACGCGTTTTGGGTGTCATCGGTCTGGCTTCGCTGGGCTGGACTCCCTGGGTGGAGCCCTTGCGGTTGCGTGTTTGGGGTGGTGGCATGGCGCCACCTGCTGCGCCCATGGTTCAATGTCTGCGACAGCCGGTCGGAAAGAAAGGCAAGGCCCATGTGCAAACATATCATTTGTTCAGAGTGAGGGGGCCGAACGGTCATTCACTGTCCCTGGGTGCGTGGCTAAAGTGGAATTCCTCGGTGCGGATTCGTGTTGTTGCTGTTGTTGTTGTTGTTGTCGTTGTCGTTGTCGTTGTCGTTGTTGTTGTTCTTGTTGTTGTTGTTGTTGTTGTTGTTGTTGTTGTTGTGTTTGTTGTTGTTGTTGAACATTATTAATTCTAAAGAATAATTATTGTTGGGACCCCTGGTGCGCGCCCCCCCGCCGCGCCTAGGCCGCAGCCTCATTTTCATAATTTTCGTGAGGAAGCCTCAGGCAAAACGATGTGATCCAGATCCGGTTGTTTTGTTGACGCCCGCTTTCCCTGTCAAAAACAATATAAAATGGCATGTCTTGTTCTAACATAACCAAACTTCAAGAAATCCTTTGCAACAAATGACACGAAGTGCACACTCGCGCGCGCAAGATGAAATCCTTCCAAAACCTTAGTTTTCGTAGCGATTTTCACATAAAAACATGAAAAACCCAATGGTTTTTCAAAAAAAAAGCTTCAAAAATTCATCCCGCGCGCTCTTGCGGATTTCTTAGGAAACCCAATACTTTTTCAACATTTCTGTCAAACGGGCTCTTGCGAGCAACTGTTTCACGTGCTTCGAACTTCTGCAACAACGGTTGCGCGCCTGCCAGGGCCATCATCCCTGTCAAATAATACCATATGGGACACATTCGTTTTTTCTTCGCGCGCGCACGCCGAAATCTTCAATTGCAGGGGGAAAAGTCGTATACTAAGCTAGCTTACAGAAAATGTTACCACAACAAGTCATTGTACCCATGCGCCAGTGTAGTAGCCAAGGTCGTCCGCAGGCCACGAAGTGAGGTGTCCGAACGTCATAGGGCGGGAAGCTGGGTGTGGGTGGTGGCGAAGAGTCGTTTGGAAATGTGGTAGAGCTTGAACCGGCCCCCCCACAAAGTGGGGGTATTGCCCGCCTCCTATGAAAACCCTGGCACTGGTGAGAACGGAGTGTCCCCACGTGCTAGTAATTGTTGTTGTTGTTGTTGTTGTTGTTGTTGTTGTTGTTGTTGTTGTTGTTTGTCGTCAGGGGGAGGAGGAGGACGAGGGGGGAGGGGGGGGAGAAGGGGGAGGAGGATGATGATGGACGACAATGGGAGGACGATGATGGAGGCCGATGAGGGGGAGGACGACAATGTGAGGACGATGATGGAAGGACGAGGGGGGAGAGGGAGGACGAGGAAGAAGAGGAGGAGGAGGACGAGGTGGAGGAGGAGGATGACGATGACGATGAGGACGAGGACGAGGGCGAGGAAGAGGAGGAGGAGGAGGAGGAGGAGGAGGAGGAGGAGGAAGAGGAGGAGGGGAGCGTCATCGACAGGGAAGGTGGGGGCCACGAGGTCCGCCGGCTCGACGACGCCCGCGTCGCCCGCGCCCGCCCCCTCACTCTTATCCGCAATTGCGGGGTGCTACGTATGTCAAAAAGCTCGGCATTCCACGGTTCGCAACACATCGAAGACAGCGAAGTTGATGGTTTCAGGGTCCCGGTGTTCATGTAAGGTTACACGGTGTAGGGCGCTACGGTATGGGTTAGAGCTTAGGACTAGGGGGTTCGGGTGCGAGTGTTAGGGGCATCAAGATTAGGATGATGCGATGAGGACTCGGGTGACATATTCAGGAGTAGGGTGTGACGGTGCTGGAGTCAGGGTGTTGGGGACATTGTTCGAGCTTCGTGCTAGCGTGTGCGGCATGAGGTGTCAGGGACAGGATGTTAGGGCTAGGGCAAATGCCAGTGAGACACCCTTTTGAGACTGATGCGGAGCTTCGCATACACGGCAGACCTACATGTTGCATGTGTTTCAATGGGCGCTTCCTATGGCTGAAGGGCGCTTCCTATGGCTGAAACGAACGCTCCTGGAGAGGTTTGACGGGGCCTGCGACGGGAAAGCGCTTGCAGCATTGTTGAAGCACCCTGGGCTTACTCTGATTCCTCTCCTCCCCCGCCCTCCTCCTCCTCCTCCTCCTCCTCCTCCTCAGTATCTTCCTCCTCCTTGTACTCCTCCTCCTCCTCCTCCTCCTCCTCCTCCTCCTCCTCCTCCTCCTCCTCCCCCCTCCTTCTCAAACTCCTCCTCCTCCTCCTCCTGCTCTCCCTCCTCCTCCTACTCCTCCTCCTCCTCCTTCACTTTGACCTCATCCCTATCCTCCCTCTAATTATCCCTGTTCTCCCTGTATCCCTGTCCTCCCTCTATTCCTGTCCTCCCTCCTCACCGTGTTTTTGCCTTCCTGATCTTCCTCTCCCTTCGTCCTCCCCTCCTGGCATTTTCACTCCTCCTACTCCGTCCGTCCCTCCTTCCTACACCCCATCCGTCCTCCCCTCTGCCTCCTCCCCGACCTCCTCCCCATCAAGTCCCGACGCAACTGTCAGTGCATCGCGGTGGGTTGCTCCGCTCCGCGAAAGTGTCATGATTTCACTCACAGACAGGGCGTAGCTCGAGCAACGTCTATCGACGCGGGTTGCGCTCTGTGGCATCCGAAGGGGCGAGGGGGCACGATACCTTGAAACACCCCGCCAGAGCCGCCACCGTTCCGGTCGAACCCTTTTGAACCGTCGCTACACCAGGCTACAAGTTCCTGAGGCCATATCGCCAAACGACGCAGGGTCGAAATCGACTGCAGCTTGCGGCACCGCGTCGGCACGGGCGCAAGACCATGTGGCTCAGTGGTGCGGCACTTAAGCCGGCCACGTGCACCACACCGGCGCTCTGTAAGAGTGGCTGGACGCGAAAATGCAAGCGCATGCAAAGCTGAACCCTTCCTCACCGTCCCCAGAGTCAGTGCAGCGGGAAACGCTGCATCTAAATCTTACTGAAAATATTTTGATCGGGTGGGGCTGCAACTGGATACGCTTCACGGGTATCCCTTGCTAACTGCCAAGTGGCCTGAACTACACGGATACACAGTGCCCCCATGAAATGAAGAGGATATACTGTGCACGGCGCTTCCCCAGGCGACCAACTCATTGGCTGGCAACCCTTACATGAAGCACAGGAGTATGTACAATTCATTACTGGCGCAACTGCTGCGGGTGAGCCGTGCTGCCCTGATATTCAAAAATCGCACGGCCGGCATTCGAGGCAGCATAGAGCTGCTCGCCAGACGCCATGCCACACAACTTCAAACACGCCCTGGACGCCACTTCTGAGGAGTGAGATGGGATTTGCTTGGGGTGGGAGCTTGGAAGAGGCCCTCCCCCATCGAGGTGCAGCGGGAAGATTGAACTCGGGGCCACGTGCACCAATCGCGCCTGCGCTCTCACAGGCCGGGCGCACCCGCGGCTCTGTCGGCCTGGGCCTGGGCCGCCGCCGCCGCAACCGTCGACTCGTCGTCGTCGTCGTCGTCGTCGTCGTCGTCGTCGTCGTCGTCGTCGTCGTCGTCGTCGCAGCCGCCGCCGCCGCCGCCGCCTCGCCGCCGCGCGTCCCGGCCGCCGCCGGGGCGGCGCGCGCAGCGCCCAGCGCCAGGCGGCGGGCGCAGGCGGCCATGCGGCCCGCGGCCTCCGCCTCGTCCTCGCTCTCGCCCTCGCCGGCGGGCGCCGCGGCGGCGCCGAAGTGCGGCAGGGCGGCGAGGGCGGCGTGCAGCGGGGGCCCCAGGGCGCCGCTGGACCCCGGCGTCACCTGTCGCGAGGAGAGGGGCGCGCAGGCGCTGCACTCGCCGTCGCTGCCGAGCGCGGGCCAGCCCGCCGCCTCCCCGAGCTGCCGCTCGGCGGCGAGGGGGCCCCGCGGGCAGCGGGGGGTCGGCACCGCGGCGGCCATCGGGGCACGGGCGGACGAGGGGAAGGCCAGCGTCTCGGACCAGAGATGTCTTGATCCAAAGCGGCTACGGAACACACCTCCTCCCCAACAGAACGCGGAGCTTCGGAGAAGGCGGGCGTCCAGACGTGGCATCCGCCATACTCCGCTCGCTTAGGGGGCCAGCCTGGTTAGCAGGCAGGGGAACTTCTGGAAATCCTGGGAACACCCTTGGTGGGTCAGAGGCTTGTTGGAGCTCGAACAGGTTCCGAAGAGATACGCAGGGGTCTCTCCAAGCCCGCTGGCCCGATTCGGAAGCGTATTGGAGTTCCTCCTCTGCTCCGTCTCCTTTCTTCCGCCCCCTCCTCCTCCTCCTCCTCCTCCTCCTCCTCCTCCTCCTCCTCCTCCTCCTCCTCCTCCTCCTCCTCCTCCTCCTCCTCTGGCATCCGACGCGTTTGGGCGGCTGGGCCCCTGCGAAGCCGAGAACGATGAGGAACCACCGTCCTATGGGTTACACCGAGCTGGAAAACGGAAGGCACGAGAGCCGTGGGCCCGCCCAGGGTCGTTTTCGGGGCCGCCCGCGCCGCAGCGGCGGCGGCCGGCGCCGCTGCTGCGCGCACTCGGCGCCGCCGCGGCGGCCTGTGCGGCGGGCCTGCTGGCCGGCAGCCGCGGCGGGCCCGCGGAGGGCGCAGGCGAGGCCCTGAGGATAGGGAGGCCACCTGCCCAGACGCCCTCGCGCTGTGAGATCACCAGCTTTAGGTCGGGCGTGTCTCCCTACAGGGGCCGCTTAGTGCCTCTGGGGGGCCATTCCACGGGCCATCCTGAGGGACGAGCGGCGCGTCGGAAGGGAAACGGCGAGGGGGTCCAGAAAGGTGTGTCGTTGCTTTTCGCCTGTCCGAGGCTCCTGACGGCCCGCCCGTCCGCTTCTGCCACCAGCCTGCTGCTCCGAACCCCCCATGCTGTTGATCTCTCTCGTGATCCATCCTTCTCCATCCCCCTTGTCCCTACGTTCCGTCCTCTCTCTCTCTCTCTCTCTCTTCTCGTGTTGTGAGGGCTGCGCCAACGACATGCAGAAGGTAAGGAAGATAGGCCCCCGAGGGGGGCACGGTCGAAGACGAAGAGAGCAGGTTTTGAGGGTTTGGGAGATACGTGTGGAAAGGCCACGATCAGGTAAGAACGCATACGATTAGAATGGATGTTGTGGTTGGCGTTGTTCTGGGTGGTGGTGGGGCTGTTGGTTTGAAACTGGTTTTGCTGGTGTTGCTGAAGTCTCATCTCTAAAGAGTCATCAGTGTTGATCCCCTGAAGACCATTGTGCTGTTCAGTTAAAGTGCACTTCGCGGGGCTCGCACCCTGTTTCATCAGGGAAAATCCGTGGCCACCAAACTGCGCCCCAGGCCCCTGGCTTACGACAACACAAACGGCTCTGGCAAGATATGTCCTCTCATTGAATTTCAAAATCGCGCTGTCGCGCGGGCTTTCCTCACCATGTATACACGAATTGCGATCTCGCGCGGTACTTCCTCACCATTTCTTGCGGCGCCGTGCCAGCAAGACTCAACAATCACGCTCTCGCTTCGGAGTTCCTGACGATGTACTGGGGAATCGCGTTAACGCTCGAAACTTCCTCCCTTCATGATGGGTTGGCGCTTCAGCGACCCGCCCGGCCGACCCGGCCGTGTGGGCTCGCCCGCCCGACCTGCCCGCTAGGGTCCGCCCGCCCGACGCGACAGGCTGGTTCTGCCGTGGGGCTGCGCCAACTACACGCGGCAGGTAGGGAAGATCTACCCCAAAGAGGGGGTACGCTCGAAAACGAAAAAGGCGGGTACCATTGGTTTGGGATCCACGTGTTGAATGGCACGCGACCGGATACCAGCGATCAGTATTAAACTTAATGTCGTTGCTGTTGAGGTCTGATTCTTGAAGAATATAACAGGGAAATTATGTTGCCCCCCAAACTATGAAAAAAAAGGCTCCCGCCTAATATCTCCTCACACGATATTCCAAGATGGCCCTCTCGAGCGGGGTTCCTTCACAATGTCTGCAAGAATCGCGCTCTCGCGTGGGAATTCCGCACAATTTATTCAGACAATGCGCCTCCGACGCTCGGGACTCGCGCTCTCGACTTGTTTTTTTTCTCGCGACTCACTAGGGAATCGCGCAATTGCCCGAGACGCCCTCGCGATTCATGCAATACCTACGCTTCAACAGCCCGCTTGCTCGACCTGGCTGCTTGGGCCCGCCTTTTCGAGCCGCCCATCAGGGTTCACCCGCCCGTTTAGCCCGTCTGGTTCTGCCACGTGTTTTTTGCTCCTAATCCTCCTCCTCCTGGTACTATCTCTCGTGTTCCATCCTCCTCACTCCTCTTTGTCCCTTCCTTCCATCCGTCCTCTCTTCCCTTGCGTTAAGGGGCTGCACGAAATACACCTTGCAGGTAATAAAGATATACCCCCAAGAGGTACGATCGAAGAAGAAGAAGGCGGTTATCGATGGTTCGGGATATACTTCCTGAGTGGCACGCGAGCAGACAAGGGCGAACAGTCTTATTGGTGGTGTTGGTGTTGTTACTGTGGTTGTTGTTGAATCTTGATTGCGAAACCAAAACTATTGCTGGAGCCCCTACAGGCGTCCTGGTTTTCGCTTGGGCGCCGGATGCGTTCCCTTTTGAAATCTACGCTCACGCTCGGGCGTTTCGGGCTTGCGCCGAAACCAGCCCCCAAACAACAGCAACAACAACACCACCAACAACAACAACCACAATACTCATTGTAATACTGCTCGCTCTTATCTGCTCGAGTGTCCGTCAACGTGTATTTCCAAAAGACTCGATACCCGCCGTCTTCGTCTTCGATCGTACCCCTTCTGGGGAGTATATATTTCTTCCCTGCAGGCCGGGCCCCGGCAAGCGGCGGGGCGGCCGCGGACCGTCGGCCTGGCCAGCGGCAGCGCTGATCGGCGGCGACCCGACCCCAAGAGGGACGGACAGGGGACCGACCACGACGACGACGACGACGACGACGACGACGACGACGACGACGATGGCGACGACGACGGCGACGACGACGAGCGAAAGCGAGAACGAGAGCGAAAACGAGCGCGACAGCGGGGCCACGAAGGGCAGGAAGGGGGCCACGAAGGGCGACAGCGGGGCCACGAAGGGCATGCGTATGGGGCCACGAAGGGCGCGAACGAGCGGGGGCCACGAAGGACAGATAATGAGGGGCCACAGGGGGCAACGACGGGGCTACTGATGGTAGCAACGGGGCCACGTAGGACAGCGAGGGGGCGACACTGAGATTGTTTTTTTATTCTGGCCGATAACGCTCGTTACCCGGGGGGGGGGGGGGGGTCGTGCCCCTCGGGTAACGGTAACGCTTGGGCTGGGCGGGGTATGGCGAGGCAGGGGCGCTCTGCGATCGCCATAGTATGCGCGCGAGCAGCACTCTCTGCCTGAGAGCACCACAGTGGCTTGCGATTCGAGTACAAGCGCAAAGCCCGCCGCGTGGTCCCGGCACCACGCCCGCGCCCGCGCGCGCGACGACGATGATCGACGAGCGACGAGCGACGACGACGACGACGACGACGTTTGCCGCCTGTTTCGGCCTCCGGAGGCCGTTTTCGAGCGCCGTCGACGACGACGACGACGACGACGACGACGACGACGACGACGACGACGACGACAAGCGGTACCGTTACGGGGGGGGGGGGGGGGGAGAGGCCCGGGTAACGAGCGTTACCCCCCGGGTAACGGAGCGGGGGCCACGAAGGACAGATAATGAGGGGCCACAGGGGGCAACGACGGGGCTACTGATGGTAGCAACGGGGCCACGTAGGACAGCGAGGGGGCGACACTGGGGCCACGAAGGGCATGCAGAATGGGGCCACGACGGGCGCGAACGAGCGGGGGCCACGAAGGGCATACGTATATTGGGCCGCAGAGGGCAAGTACGGGGCCACTGAGGGCAGCAACAGGGCCACGAAGGGCAGCGAGGAGGCCACGAAGGGCGACAGCGGGGCCACGAAACGAATGCGTATAAGGTCACGACGGGCGCGAACGAGCGGGGGCCACGAAGGGCAGCGAGGGGGCCACGAAGGGCTGCAACGGGGCCATGAAGGGCAACGAGGGGGCCACGAAGGGCTGCAAGGGCCACGAAGGGCAGCAAGGAGGGCCACGAAGGGCTGCAACGGGGGCAACGAAGGGCAGCGAGGGGGCCACGAAGGGCTGCAACGGGGCCACGAAGGGCAACGAGCGGGCACGAAGGGCAGCGAGGGGGCCACGAAGGGCAGCGAGGGGGCCACGAAGGGCAGCGAGGGGGCCACGAAGGGCAGCGAAGGGGCCACGAAGGGCAGCAACGGGGCCACGAAGGGCAGCGAGATCCCCATTCCGTCGTAAGCTGTGAGGAAATCCAAAGCGTGAGCGCGATTCCTGGGTGCCTGAGTGTCGGGAGCGCGGCGTTTGCGTAAATCGCTGGGGGGTCCAACGCAAGAGCGCGATTCTTTTGTAAATTGCAAGCAGGTCTCCAGCGAGAGCGCGACTCCAGAGCGCTGAAGGAGCGATCCGATGTGGCAATAAAGTGTAAATAAGGAAAGCCCAAACGACAGCGCGATTCCCGTGTGAAACGCTGGGAAATCTCAGGCGGGAGCGGGGGTCCTGGTTAACTTGTGAAGAAGTTTCAAGCGGGAACCGTTGTTATTGCAATCCGGGGGCCAACAACCCAGTTTGAACCCCGTGACCTTCCCTGATAAAAATATGGGGTGCGAGCCCCGGAGGAAGCCCTTCAATTGAAAAAACACAATGGTCACTGGAGGGGGGATCAATCATACAAATCCTTAAAACGTGAGCGTTCAACGACGCTCTCGCTCGATATCTAATCCTTCTTCCACTCGGGACTGGAGGTCTTGCTCGCCGCCCAAATCCGGCTGTCCCAAAAAACGGCGCTCCCGCTCAATACTTCCTGCTTTTTACGCAAGACACGCGCTTCCGCCTTAGCGCCGCAAGCGGCCCCCTTCTGCAAAGAACGACG